CAATGAGCGGGATGAGATACTTGTTCTTCACTGTCACTTTGTTGAGGGCTCGGTAGTCGACGCATAATCGGAGACTCCCATCTTGTTTCTTCTGGAAGAGAACTAGAGCTCCGAAAGGTGCTTTAGAGCTGCGGATGAGACCACCGCTTAGCAGTTCACCTAACTGCTTCCTGAGTTCTGCCAACTCTGGCGGGGGCATGCGGTAGGGTGGTCTCGTTGGAGGCTTCACTCCTGGCTCCAGCTCGATGTTGTGATCCACGCCCCTGCGTGGTGGAAGAGTCTTCGGCAACTCGGGTGGCATAACGTCATTGAACTCTTTCAGGACGTCCGCCACCACAGTAGGTTCTTGAATGGCCTTCTCGTCAAGTGGCTCTAGCTTCATCGCAGCCACGAAGGTTAATTCACCTTTTCGCACCCCTTTCTTTAGTTGCAACGCCGATATATGTTGCGGTTCCTTGGTTCCTCTCCGAGAAACAAGAACCACGCAGGGATCGTCACCTCCCATCACACATAGGGAGTTCAAGAATGGCATTGGCACCAACTTCGCCGCGTGCATAAACTCTATTCCAAGAATCACTTGGAAGTCATCCAATGGCACTGCCATCATGTTGGTGTTCCCGCTCCATGTCCCGATTTTGATGGGGACTCCCTTCGCCAACCCGGAGATTCGCCTGGCCTCCGAGTTCACCGCCTTTATTCGACTTGGGCTCTTCTCCAAGATCAACCTAAGTTGCTTTGCTTCTCGATCGGCTATAAAGTTGTGGGTAGCGCCCGTGTCTACCATTGCATGAGTTGTTTGGCCATTGAGCTTGATGTCGACATACATTAGCTCGCCACTTCCTCTGGCCCCTCCATAACCATGAGGCTCAGGTGCCCTCAAGTTTTGTGGTGGTGCAACGTGGGTGTTGCTTCCTCCCGCATTTAGTGCTCTTGTGAGCATGGCCACCTTTGAAGTGAGTTCCGCCACAACATCCTGTAAGTGTTGCACGGAGTCTTTGGTGTCATCAGACACTCAGTCGACTAGGGCCTCGACCTTGTCGATCCTGGACTCTGCTTCCTCTTGCGAGCTCTCTACCCCAACAAGCCTTTGTTGGTCATGGTAGAGTTCCTCCACGCTCGCTTCAAAAACATCCAGGCGGGTTTCCGCCGTTGTGAGTCTCTCCTTGTGACTCTTTTTCCCAGTTGGCGCTCCAGATTGCGCCTCCTCCGCTCGCGGAGAGTAGCCAACTTCTCGCTCATCATGTTCGCTGCCGCGCTCCTCTTGAGCGGCTCCAATAGCATGAGAGCGAGTGTGCACATGCAGCCCACCTACAATTGCTTGGGGCAAGGGTCCGGCTTGCCCCGTCTTGCTAGATTCGCCACAATGCTTTGCCATGGCGAAGTTGCGAAGTTCCTTCGCTGCTCGCTCGAAGTGCTTGCCCGCTCTGATACCACAATGTCACGGCCTTAGTTGGAATTGCCTAAGGCGTGAGGTACCCTTGCGGCCAAAACGCGAACTTAGCTTGCGTTGCCTAAGTCGTGCTTCGCCCTTGCGATATTGCTCCGCAAAGATCAGCCCACTTGTAACCTCTCGCAGGTCCCGAAGGACCTGTAAAAGAGAAAATTGATTAGTTCGAAAGAACGAGCGACGGACAAGTCCCGACGTCTCGCGAAAAGGGGGGAAGCTTTACAAGCAATTCAGCGAGCACCTTGCGTGCACAAGAGAAAAGAGGGAGAGGGGGAAAGCAAGGGCTTTAGAAGGTTAAACGAACAGCTGCTCACCGAGTCCCGGGCGCGACAACAAGTTCCCGTCAAGGCAATGTGCGAAATTGCAAATGAGTGTTCAACGCCCGGTACTATATCGAAGCCCCATCCAGCCCTGTGCCACCCGGGGGGTTCAAAGGGACTGAGATGGCTGACGTTTTGGTGAGCAGAGGCAGATTCCAGAAATCAACCCGCGGCACACGAAAACGGAGCTGTTTTGGGGTTCTTTTGCTCGGTTCGGTGAGCGGTCGCTTTGTAACGCTGCAGCTTGTTCGAACTTACATTTTTACAAGCAAAATGACTCAAAACCAAGGCAAAACAGGCTACCAAGTAACTGTACATGTAGATGAGAGCAACGAGCGGTTTGTTGAACGGAGTTGTTGCGGGTGCGCGGCGACCGTTCGTGACAATAGTGCAATGAACAATAATAATCTCAAGTCTCAAACTATCAAGTTTCAAGATGTTTAGTTCCAAGGCACCAAGCTCCAAGTCAAAGCATCAAGTTTCTAAACAACTAGTCCCAAGGCACTCAATGTTGCTTTGTAACTTGTGGTCCATCAGTATGTTTTGTAACAATAAGCAATTTTAGGGTTAGATTAATATTTTTATTATTTAGGATGACAAAAGGGCTTAAGAAACGATGGAATTGAGAAAGCAATATTACCCTAAGTCATAAATTATGTTAGATTTATAAAGGGTAACATGGGGAAAAAAGAAATTAGGGTTTTATACTTAAGGAGGACCCCCTCCCCCTATTTTTTTTCTTTTCAACTTGGGCATGTGGAGTCATCATTGTTGGTGACTACAGCTCATCCATGTCAAGATATCAATGAAGGGATCCGACAAGATTTCTTTAATTTTGATTTAACAAGTAGTGTCGTTTTTCTTCCTTCTTTTGGTAAACCTTAAAAACTAAACCCTAGTTAATCCTCTCTGATAAACATCTCATGCTGCACTCAGTTTTTAGCTTTATTTCATAAATATTAGTGCCTTCTACTTTAGACGGTTATTTTTCTCATCTTAGTGCCTTCCACAAGATGGGGTTCAATTCTTTTGGGTTTAGTATGTACCTAACTATCTAGTTAATATATTTTCTGAAAAGAATATGAAAAGCATATGATATATAATATATGTATACGACAAAGGGAGAAATATAAAAGAAAATGCATCAACAAATGGATACAAGTAATGTGATGAATTTGAGTTATTCCCAAGGATTGAAATTTCCTATCATACCGACGTTTCGAGATTCGCTCAGTACGGTACGGTACTATATATCAAGCAATATATTTCGGTATACCACTCGATATATATATATATATAAGTGAAAAAAAAATCTGCGACGACGCCTCTCTTCTCCCCATGCGGGATGACGTCGCCAAGGCAACGTCATAGAAAAATGAGGCCTATTTATATATATATATATGTGTGTGTATATATATATGTGTGTGTGTATATATACATATATATATATATATATTTATATATACATATATATATATATTTATATATACATATATATATATGTGTATATATGTATATGTATATATATGTATATGTATATATGTATATATATACATATATGCATATATACATATATATATACATATACATATATACATATACATATATACACATACATATATATATATATATACATATATATATTTATATATTTATATATATAAGTAAAAATAATAATCTGCAACGTCGCCTCTCTTCTCCCCACACGAGGCGACGTCGCCTCTTCTCGTGGTGCGGATGAGAGGTCATCCACAAACGAGGAGGGAGAGCGGCGCAGGTACTCTTCTTCTCCTTTTTCTTTCTCCTTCTCCCTCGGTCACCCCTTTTCTTTCTTCTTCCTCGGTCACCGCCGATTTAAAACGATAATGGGGCGAAAATAGCTCAATCGACAATACCGCCCGGTAGTGGGCAGTCCGTGTACCGATCTGCTGGCGGACCACTACGTATCGCCCGATACGGGCAGTATTATTTGAAATTGAAGACCTTGGTTGTTCCTTATCCTTTTACTTATTGATTTGACTATGTAAAATGCATATGTTATTTTTTTTTTAATATGATATAAACAGTTATAATATGTTTAAATTTTTGCTTACCCACCTATGAGCAAGACGTGAGTAATTATTTATTTGTTGTAAATACTCATCCCACTCTTGTTGATTTTTTTCCGACGAAGATATCTCTATACTTGTGATATAAGTGCAAAACATGAACTATTGATAATCATGAAGTGCCAACGATCGAACCAAATGAATGGGTCCAGGACCTCTATTAGAAAGCAAATATAGTGGCAATAAACAGTTAGAGCCCATTTGACATTAGCAGACGTAATACTTGCTTTTTATTTAAACTGGAACTCTTATTTATATGTCTTGAAACTCATGAACAATATTAGTTTAGGTTGTTATCAGCTATAATTATGGACTTTTACCTGTTGTTGTGTCATATGATAGGTTGATATAACATACTACATGTGGACACCTTAAATGTCATCAGTTTGTGCTACTTGGGGTGATGAATCTAGACGCAAGTTAGCCCAATCCATAGACATTTGGTGGGATCAGTCTAGTCCCTGGTTTCAAGGTGTGACATTTTATAACTTTTAGCCACTAAATAGGGTTGGTGAGAGTTAAGTAATTGATTAAGGTAGGTGGTAGTTATCTATAAAAGGAGAGGGGAGGAGAATTTGAGGGATAATCCTATATTAGTCGATGAATCCTTGTATTTGAGCTCTTAGCTCTTAGTTATCCTAAGAAAAGAAGAGGACTTATCTTTCTCATCTCATATTGTCTCTTAACCTCTTCTCTCTTCTTGTTCCACATCAGCATATGTCCCTCAAGTTATATTTAATAGAATATTATAGGTAGGTGCTTGTCCTGAACAGATTATACTCCTAGAGACCCTAAGGTAGGTGCTTGTCCTCATTGATTAGTTACTTAAACATTATAATTAAGGCAATATAGCTATATCTTCCAGTAATTTAGATAGATGAAAATAGCTGTAGACGTTAAGCTTAAAATTTGGTAAAATATGAACAAGGGGTGGCTTCTTACGAATTAAACTAATAATGTAGAGTTCTAAAGTATAAACTAAAAAGAAACTGTAACAGGAAAGAAACACTTCAAGTTTAAGGGTAGTTGCCTACCATCTACAAGTTGGAACTATAAAAGGTCAGCAAAAAGTGCAGCAAGATAGTCTGATTATGCAGATCAGTTCAAAAAAATGTTTTACCTTACCTGGAAAGAAGCAAACAAAGTGAATATGACATATCCATTTTGTTTGGCATCAACTCTTCTGGTGGCAAAACTGTTCCCATCACGTACACGATGAACCAGATATATAATAGGCGCTATAGCAGCAATATGTGTAATTAATTAGCAATAAATCATTTCATTTGCACTTGTTGCAGCAAAGGAATTTGATAAATAAAATAAAAAACATAATTATAGCAAAAACTAGATTAAAGAAACAATTTCAGAAAATTCTGCAGTAACAAGAAATACAAAAAGTAGCATTAAAGCTGCAAACTAAGTCTACATGGTGTATCAAGGTCCAAATGAATGCCACATACATGGTTTTAACTATTAAATACTAGTATTGGCACCCATAGAGGATCCAGCTGGGACTGTTATGCACCAATCGGATGGTTGGCATAGAAGCACAAAAGAAAAAAAAAAAGAATTCCATTTTGAAACTCTGCCCTGCACTTTAGTATACTGGCATACTGTCCACAGCATGGACAGGTACATATTGAGTGTTATTTGTGTTGTGGATGAAAATAAACAAAAGGAGATTCTCTGCATAGATTTAATCCTTAATTTTTCATACTATTATTGTTTTCATTAAATAGAGTTCTGTAGGTAGAGAGACAACTCTCATCAATTTGAGCAATAATCAACAAGTGTTTCAAATGGTCAAGTTGCAGTACAAGTCGAACATATGAAATTTTGTTTGTTAATCTCTTGTATAATAAAACTATCATGCCACTACACTTCAGAGACATGTCAAGGTAATTTAAATAAATGAGTACATGTTGGAGTGGTGTGTTAATAACCCAAAGATGTTGTGTGATATGTTATTATATACTGACAGTTTAATCCTCTGCAGTCTGGCTCCTGTTGGCTAATCAGTGCTGTATATGGTAAACATTTTCTGTGTATATGATTTCTATCTATGCTTTATTCCAATGCTCCAACCTATTTCATTCATCATAAACAAGAAAAATACATAATCTTGCTTGATAGCATTTATTAACTGGCTTCTTTAGTTTTACATCTGTGACATAAATAGAGTTTATGGAAGGGCTGACCCGTGGAATGATGGGTGCGAGGGCCACCATCAACTCAATGCAGAACGAGGAGCGGAACAACTTGGGTGTAACTTGGCAAAGTACCCAAGCTGCATAAAGGGAGTCAACATAGAAGATGAAACATGGAGCGGAGGCACGGAGCTTTCCTTGAACAAAGGTCAAGGACATGAACTCTTGCAGAGGCAAGAGCAGGATCATGTTGTTCCATGGGTCCTTCATTCTGATGCAGCGGACTCATCTTACATGGTGCCGAAGACGAATGGAGCTTCTAGGCACATACACCTTATCTCGGAGAAGCATTTGATGAAGGAACTAAGGCGACTCAACTTGCGAAGGCGAAGTTGGGTTCAGAAGGCCTTGGCATGGGGCAAGAGGACGCGGAGGCGAGTACTCTTGAAGAATATGCCATAGTGTTGTCATTCAAGTTGTCATGAAGGAAGCGGTGCGCAGTGGAGATTGTGCTAGTAGGGGCAAAGGCCCAGGATCCAAACAATGGTGCACCATTTTCAGCGAAGTCGGTGGACTTCGGAAGCTACTAGGCGACGGACTGTCCTAGAGCGGTACTTCATCTAGATGTGACCCAAGAGCGGATGGATGAAGGTCGATTGCCAAAGGAGTGAACAAAATCGAAGGTGGAAGAGACCCTACGATGTATTGGCAGAGGCCACACATGGAGGGATCACAATTCGAGTTCATCCCATAAGGATCAGAATACAATGGAGATGTCACCAAGAGGCGACATGGTGCAGCGGATCGTGGTGGAACAGTTCGTGGCAATGCGATACACATGACTAGTCCTTTGAGAGACTAGATCATGCGGAGGTATAATCGGGAGCTACTGGGAGCTCCACTTCAGTGAACAACACGGCGGCAAGAAGGAATATGGATTCAAGGAGTGAAGGCCATGGTACCGCAGAGGCGGGTCTTCCGTGCGTGCATCGAATTTTGCATCGGATGAAAGCCTTGGTTATCAGCATATGGGGGCTGTGTACTACCGAGGGAAAAGTTCGAATGCAAGTACCAGTAAGTCCCATGAGAGGGACTTGATCATGCAGAGGTATGATCAAAACAGTTGGAGAGTTGGATTGCTCCAGAGCCTATATTCGCTTAAGGGAGCCCGGCAAGTCAGAGGATAAGGTCGAGTAAGCGAACGTTGCTACCAAGGAAGCTAAGGAGAACAGAATCGGTGCAAACCCTATAACATGACGGCAGAGGCCATGCATGGGAGTTGCAGTCTGTCTTTCTATCGACCAAGGGGAACTACTTGGAGAACACAAAGGTATTGAAGTAGGGGGTCGAAAGGGGCGAGGAAGCGATAAGTCCAAAGGGACTTAGCTACCCAAAATAAAGCATCGGTTAGAATGGAGGTGGACTTCAAGGAGTGCCACAAAGGCAGATCTACCGATTGTGAAGAAAAAGGATGCAGATGCGAGGTGACGGATAGTAGGGCCATAGGCATGACAGCACTATGGTATCGTAGAGGCGAGACTTCCGTGAAGTCATCGATCCCTTGCTCTCATGGAGGGAGAGCGCTTGGTCATGAAAGGGACCGAGGAGGTGGAGCATGCAGAGGCAAACTCCAAGTACTGAGACAAGGCTGAAGGGTAGAGGCCAAGGAACTTCGTAAGACCGATGTCAACGAGCTTCTCATCAAGATAGCCGAAAGTGAAGGACTTTGGGTTATGCAAGAATACATGACCAAGGAACGAAGCAGGCAGTACGCAGTGTTGTACCTTTGCTACTCAGTGGAGTAGGCAGCAAGGTTGATGGAGAAGACGGTACAATCCCAGAGGCGACCAAAACTATTAGAGACTTACTCTAAGTTAGGGTGAAAACTTCCTGCATTTCAGAAGTTCGATGGCATTGAGAAGGTGAATCACAGTAGCTAACTCAATACAAGGAGTGCAAACACTTTGAGTGCTTCAGAAGTGTGAGCAAAGAGCAAGCGAAGGTCAGTAACCAGCTCGATGTATGGAGTACAACCCTTGAGGAGGTGGGTGAAGTCAAGTAACCCTTGCCTTCTCAACTCTTAAGAGAATGGGCGAAACCGAGTACCCCAATTCTCTTATCTATCCAACAGAGGAGCTCGGCACAGGTTCAAAGACCCTTCGAAGATAATGGAAGACAATAGTTGTCAAATTCTCACCAATGGTGATCAGTGCTACTGAGAGTAGATTATCCCCTTTGTTTCGCAACAAAATGTCAATCGAAAGCGGAAGTGATACGAATCTACTTGGAAGTGACAACTAAATGAAAGAAGAGTCGATGGACAAATTTTGTGGAGGAAGGACCCAAAACTTCGAAAGTTTGCGAGGCAATGCTCGTTAAAGCTCCAACAAGCATCCACCCAATATAAGCAGCATGAGGCATTTGAGAGACTGGTGCATAGTAAGGATGGTTTTTTCCTTCATCTGAAGAATCCGTAGGAACCAACAAAGATCAACACAACTCAGCCAACCCCACACTAGAGTCAGAGTCATTAATGAGTTGAAACAACATAGCGGATCGAAAGTTTGACTACTCAACAACAGCAGCGGAGAGCAGTTGGGAGCCAAGAGGCGCATTGCAGCTGGAGCAGAAGATTGAAGACTCAGCAAAGGCGAGGAGTTGTAGTGTCGGCAAAGGCTTCGACGAGGACGTCGAAGGAATAAGTGGGGGAGAATGTCACGAACAAAGTTCTAAACAGGATGTTTAATGTAATACTTATGTATGTCCGTGTCTTTTGGTTTGTTTATGCTTTGCACATTATATTGAGGGACGGTCGAAAGCTTAACAGCCCCATTTTAGTTGGGTTTGGTGGCCTTCTTAGGCTTATAAATAAAGGTTATGTCATGTAGACACTTGTGAGAGATATTCGGTCTGTAGTGGACCATTTTGACCCTTTGTTGTGCAACCGTTCTGAGCTTGTAAAGTCCATTTGTAATTTGCATTGACTATGAAGTGTTTTCGGAGATGTTTGCTTGTGGATCCCGAGTGAGGCGCTTTCTCTAACCCGTTTTCTCTTTTGTAGGTCCTAAGGGACCATGGGAGGTTTCGGGGAGGCTGACCTTTGCGGACGGGCATGCAAGGGTGCCGCACGACTTAGGCAAAATCAACTAAATCCGTGATAGTTCATCGGAAGTTCTGCCGGAACCAACCGAGAAGTCTAGGAGGTTGCCAAAGAAGCTTGTCGAAACTCGCCAAGAAGATCGTCGTAAAGCCCAGGAGCTTGCCGGGAGTCCGCCGGAACATTACCGAGAGTTCGTCGGATGTTCGCCGGAAATACGTCGGAAGCTCTCCGGAAGAGCAATTGACGCACCGGAACAAGAAGCGTTGTAATTATGTCTTAGTTATCGTAGTTAGAGCGTAAATTAAGTTAGGATTGGGAGGTAATCCCACTAACTTAATTAGGGCCAATTGGGCCCTTAATAGGGCTGAATTAGGTCGAATTGAGCAGCTAATTCAGCCCTTGAAAACATGGTCGGCGGTGGCACCGCTTGGAAAGCAGTGCACCAGGTTTGATGGGTGGTGGTACCGCCGGCAGTGAATGCTGCCAGCGGTGGTACCACCCCTATCAGGCGGTGGTACCGCCCAGTGTCAGATCAGCGGCAGTAGTACCACTCAGTAATGGCGGTGGTACCTCCAGTACCCCGGAATCCGGGGATGCGACACTTTTTGGCTCAAATTTTGAAGCCATTGGGGCCTATAAAAACCTTACCCTTTTCTACATGAAAGGGCACGAAAGTATTGGCTTAATCTTGAATTCTTGAGTCTTAAAAGTGTTGTAAAAGTTAGAAAGAGTTCTCCTTCATCTCTTAGCCTTGTAACCATCCAAGAAAGAGGAGTGAGACTTATAAGGGTTGTCTCCTAAACCTGGCAAAAGAAGAAAAAGGTATAAAAGGCGGTTGGCCTTCGCCTATTGAAGGAAGGCCTTTAATGGACACCGGTGACCTCGTCGGAGGAATCCGAAAGTGGATGTAGGTCACATTGACCGAACCACTCTAAATTCTCGTTTGCTTTTCATTTGTGCTATTTACATTACTGCAAATCTCCTTAATCATCTCTTGCACTTTTACGAAAGCTTTCAAGTTCAACTTCTCTCCGAAACGAATTGAATCGAAACCATTTTCGTCGAAATCAGTTTTAATCGAAACGAACATTTTTCTGAAATCGGGAAAGTTTTCTACTGCACTAATTCACCACCCCTCTTAGTGCCGCTCTTGATCATAACACACCATACTGGTCACCCGAAGAGAACCAAGAAGATGGAGAAGCAGAAGGTGATACCGGGAATGGTAAAAATACAGAATGGATTTCGAAAGAACACCAATAGAACAGTTGTACAGATAAAAAATAGAAAATATCACAGAAGGCAATGAACGAACTCTTGAAGAAACTTCGGTAAAACGAAATATAGCTCACCACC